GGGTGGGTGGGGGTTGGGGGGAACATTGGTAAAGGGGCAACATTGGTGGCTGGGGGGGGGTTGAGGGTTGGGGGGCAACGTTGGTGGCTGGGTGGGTGGGGGTTGGGGGGGCAACATTGGTAAAGGGGCAACATTGGTGGCTGGTGGGAGACAGTGTTGACTGGTGGGCGACATGGGTTATGAAGGCAGGATGGTGGTGAGAAGACATTTTTTTTTTTTTCAAACACAATAACAATTATTAACTATAGCTGTAGCATACAGGTACACTAGACACAGCAGCGTTTCTTTAAAAGTGTAGCGGAATTATACACATAGGCTAGTTGCAAAGTTATCCTGTCGATACGTCCGGATAAATTATTGGGAATGTGCAACGGAACATTCAAATTGTCAGCGGGTGGCGCTCATTGCCTGAGTGTGGCGTCACAAGAACTGCCTGGGTATGATGGGCGAAGAGTAGGACTGGCTGTTGGACGGCGTCAGAGAAAAGTGATGGTCGCTGTGCTGCACCGCGTAACCTGGGACGGGCATGCCCGGCCGAGACGGCTGTGGGATCGCGCGGACATCCGGGGAAGTGGGTGGGGTGTTGTAAGGGGCCGACGGGGTCATCTGCGGCTTGCTACTGTGCTGAGGGAAGATGTTGTCGAAGAAGGTCTCCGCCGTGTTTCCGGCCGAGCCGCCCAGCTTCATGTCCATGCGGTTTTTGGCCTGGTTCTCGAGGAAGCACGAGAACTGCCCGAACGGGACGCTGAGCTGCTCGTGGGGGTGACGCGGTTGGTGATCCATCACGTGCGGCTGAGAATTGTGGCGGGCGCTCATGTGCGAGTACGCGGCTTGCTCGGGAAACAGAAAGCTCTCCGTACCGGAAGTAGGCGTGTCCATGCCCCTGGCTCCCTGCGCCACGTGCTGCGCCTGCGCGAACGGAAGGAGACCGCCATCCGCGAGCGGTTGCTGGCTCTGACCGCCGCAGAGGTGAGACTGCGGGTTGAAGGACGGGTCGGGCGTGAAGTCGTTGCTTCGCGCCAGCGGCGAGGACGAGTCCGAGTCCTGCACGCTCTCGCCGCCGTACTGGAAGTTGAGCATGAAGGCGTAGTCGTCCGGGTTCGGGAGCTCGTTGCAGAGGTCGTGCCTGTCCTTGGACTGCTCCAGGAGCTTGACGCTGGCCGCCAGGGCGCTGATGTAATTGCACGCGTAGCGCAGGGTCTCGATCTTGGTCATCTTGGCGTCGGTCGAGTTGGGCAGGGTGGTCCGCAGGACTTCGAGGGCCTCGTTCAGGCCGTGCATCCGGTTCCTCTCCCGGTCGTTTGCCCGCTGTCGTCGGCTCGTTTTCAACTTCTGAATCAACTGGAGGAAACAAAAAAGAAAAAAAAAAGTTTTTAATGTTTGTTAAAGTTAATCTGTTTGAAATATAAACAATGCAATGTTCATAGAAAGTAATGTTGATCGAAATCAACGTTCATAGAAAGTAATGTTGATCGAAATCAACGTTCATAGAAAGTAATGTTGATAAAAATCAATGTTCATAGAAAGTAATGTTGATAAAAATCAATGTTCATAGAAAGTAATGTTGATCGAAATCAACGTTCATAGAAAGTAATGTTGATCGAAATCAACGTTCAAAGAAAGTAATGTTGATCGAAATCAACGTTCATAGAAAGTAATGTTGATCGAAATCAACGTTCATAGAAAGTAATGTTGATCGAAATCAACGTTCATAGAAAGTAATGTTGATCGAAATCAACGTTCATAGTAAGTAATGTTGATCGAAATCAACGATCATAGAAAGTAATGTTGATCGAAATCAACGTTCATAGAAAGTAATGTTGATCGAAATCAACGTTCATAGAAAGTAATGTTGATCAAAATCAACGTTCATAGAAAGTAATGTTGATCGAAATCAACGTTCATAGTAAGTAATGTTGATCGAAATCAACGATCATAGAAAGTAATGTTGATAAAAATCAATGTTCATCAACAGTGATGTTCTTAAAGGTCATGATGACCTGCACTGATAGTAATTCGGGTATAAGACGCATTTATTTAAAACTAATTTATTGACCAAAGCCAGGAGAACTTCATATCGTCACCATCATCTATTGTACGATTTCGGAACACACACACACACACACACAAACACACAGACACACACAAACACACGCACACACACACACACACAGCCGTTGATGTTATTAGTCTGACCATAAACGTAAGACCTGCCGTCAACTGACCAGCAATGAAACGTTCCCAACAGTTCATCGAATCAAGTGAATAGTTCTGACGAACGTCTTTAGATCATTCATTGGTCTTAAGAAAGTTCCACAAAAATATATTATATCACTTTATATATTTTTAAAAATTACAAAAAAAAGTTCATGTAAAAGTTGAAATTTCTTTAAAGTTGAGAACTAAATCGCGGTGATTTAGTCCCTTTTCCAAACTAGGAAGTGTGGGTGGCAGGGGGGTTTGGGGGGGGGGGCGGGGGGCGTCCCTCAAAATGACTTAAAATTCACCAATAAAATTTTATTTGAAAGGGGAATCATCAATATTTTTTTTTTCTAAATGACTTAAAATTCACCAATAAAATTTTATTTCAAAGGGGAATCATCAATATTTTTTTTTTCGGTGGCAAGAGTGGGGGGAAAAAAAGGGGGGGGGATGAGGGGGTGAAGGGGAGGAGAAATAAAGCGAAACGCATTTTGGCCACCGTTAGTTGATTCAATTCAACACCATTTTGTTCACTCGTGGCAAACTGTCAAGTTTTTATATGTATACATTTTTTTTTTTAATAAACATAATTTTCACAGTTGATGCCCCTGTCGAAGTGTCGCACACCGTACGAGACCAATCATTCCACTGTCTTGTCAGATTTGGGACTAAACTTAAAATTATAAATAGTTGAACGAATTCATGTGGAAGATCTACGATAGAATTATTTCTTCTGTTCTTGATGATTAGATGATTAGACCCATTGTTCTCATATAATTGTCTGTATCGCAGTATCCCTAAATGAATTAACTAATAAACGCTGTTCTGTCGGTGGACCTTCGGTTTAACACTTGGACATAGCTGTCGGTGGACCTTTAGCTTGTTTACTTCGATAACTGTCGGTCCGGTGCAGCACGGGCTTCTCATGAAAACTTGCTGTCGGTGCAGCACAATATGTAAAAAAAAAAAATGTTCGTTTGAAAAGACATTTCATAAAACATGTGCACACAGAAGGGATTGTGTATGTCCGTTGATAAACTAATTGTGGGGAAAAGACTTGCAATATTGGGCGCCACATGTCTAAAGTTTGATTGAAACCGTTAAGGATGATATCAATGATAACTATGGTTAAGCTAGTTACATTGTTTTATTTCAAGTCTTTAGATTTTTACAAGTCTTGTCTTTAGGATCTTAAAAAAAAATATATATTTATAAAAAAAATATAAAAAATTCATTATAAAAATTTCAGTTAACCCGTGAAAATATCATGTGTTTTAGAAGTTGAAAAAAACTGACCAGGAAGCTGCCTCGTTATAAAACACATGATAATTGCAATTTTCCGTGTAATGACTATTACGCGTTTCTATCCATTATAATCCATACTAAATTATAGACGGGTCGTGAGCGTGACATTCAAATCCCTTGACATTGGTGGACATAAATGTCTTGTTACCAAAAGTCTTATTGTTATTATTTTTAGATTTATCTTCATTAAAATAAAACTAATGCTACTACTAACAATAATTATAATAAACTAACAATAATTATAATAATAAAACTTAAGAACGCGATATGGGTCACCTTGAAATATTTAACAACACAACACAGCTTAACACAACACAACACATTTTTTTAATAAAACAACAACAACACAACACAATCTCCCGTCGTCTCCTTACCTCGGGGCTCTTCACCTTAGCGCGGGTTTTGCGAATTCTTTTCTTCTTGGGCGTCACACCGTCCCCGGCCACGGAGAACTGGGACCGGTCACGCTGACCCGCCATGTCCAGGGGGTTGTCCGACACGGACTGGTCGTCGGTGCTGACGGACATGGCCTCCATGTCAGACGTGTAGCGGTCGAGGCTGTCCGCGCTGTGAAAGTTCTGGCCGAAAGCAGGACTTTCGGGCCCCAGGTTCAGCAACATCACAGAAAAGTGTTGTTAAAAAAAACAGCACCAGGCCAGGACGCGTCCTCCAGAAACTTCGGTGGTTCTCAAACCGCGATCCTGATTTGTGATTGACCTTAGGGCTTTTAGACGATGACTATTTGTATATATATATATATTTTTTTTTTCCCCTTTTTTTTCTTGATCGTGCAGTTGCTAGGAGCTGGGTGTTTGACAATGTTGACCCTTAAAAAACAAATTATAAGAACGCCTTGTTGAACAAACTATTTCCTGTATCTAAAACGATCTTCTCTCTGCCAGTGAAGTATTATTATGAATATTTTTAAAACACAATGTTTCAGGTAGAAGTAGACTATCCAGTAGACGTAGAGTCTGTGAAGTGCACTGCAACTTTCCAACAAAAACAGACAACACACCACTAGCACTGTCCAGATTCGGTCGCTCTGAGCCAAAAAAAAAAAAAAAAAAAAAAATTAAATAAAACACATGAGTTGAGACGGGTCGATGAAGTGATGTCTTCTCTCTACGATTGAAGTTCGATTTTTTTGTTTTCGATACTGCCTCACGAATCAATCCAGTGTCCGTTCGGGGGTTTTGTTGATGTGCGTGAATTCAAAAAGCTGCTTGGATTTCCTGGTCACCGGTGCATGTTGTGCCGCGTAATCCAAAGTCGTACCGTGAAAGTTAAGAATCGAAAGTCTGGTGGCAAAAAAAAGCGAAACTTTTAATTTTTTTTTTTTTTTTTTTGCTTGTGGGCGGCGGAAGNGTCTTCAGGTGAGTTGGCCGCCTATAGAGAATGTGTGACAGCGTGTGAAATATTGCAGTTATTGTCTGTGTGAGTGTCTGTGTGAGTGTGTGTGTGCCTGTGAATAAATGAAATGTCTGACAGCGTGAGAGGCTGGGATTCGATGTAAGAGGGGAGGGGTTGGGGGTAGGGGGGGCGATAGAAGACGAGAGGGTGGATCATTGTTGGGGGAGAGAAGGGGGTGCGTGGAAGATAACAGGATTATTACGCTTTGTTCATTTATTCATTTGCTTATACGATTTTACCAACAAGACACTTTATACCGTGATTAAATATTTTTATTTATGGTTTTAAAAAAAAACAAACACAAAAATAAATGTTGATTCAAGAATGAATATTTGTATTTTAAATGTTCACTTAAAATGTTCACTTGCGAAACTTGATTTAAAATCACACATTTTAAAAAAAAAAAATTAAAAAAGGCAAACACAAAAAAAAAAAAAAAAAAAAAAAAAAAAAAAAAAAAAAAAAAAAAAAAAAAAAAAAAAAAAAAAAAAAAAAAAAACAAAAAAAAAAAAAAAAAAAAAAAAAAAAAAGAACAAAAAAAACATCACAACAGCAACAGAATTTCAAATTGTTCACCTGACGGTTCCGGATGGCAGTGATGGTACTAATGGTGCGGATGGTACTAGTCACACTGGATGGCACTGAATTATTTATAAAGTTACGTTTGTTCAAAGCGAATCAATCTGAAGTGAATCATGATGTAAATAAAGAGATTGGTGACTCAATCATAATGTAACAGAGAGATGGTGACTCAATCATAATGTAAAAGAGAGATGGTGACTCAATCATAATGTAAAAAAGAGATGGTGACTCAATCATAATGTAAAAGAGAGATGGTGACTCAATCATAATGTAAAAGAGAGATGGTGACTCAATCATAATGTAATAGAGATATGGCGACTCAATCATAATGTAACAGAGAGATGGTGACCCATCAGTTGTTTCACAAGCTATTATAAACGTAGAGAAAAAGGACATTTTATTTTGGAGAGGAATGCATGGGGAATGAATGATGGAGATATACGGAGATGGGAAAAGGGAAGAGGAGACATAAGAGGGAAACAGAAACTATGTATGGATGGAAGAGGGAGTAAAGAGTGAGTCACGAAAAGAGAGTAAACAGCGGACACAAACAATAAATAAACAGAAATTGTTACCAATGAGAACAGGTCATTTAAAGTTGAAAGAAAAAAAAAATAGTGACTCCCAGAGATGGTATCACCATTCACACCACCATACCACCCTCACAGCACCAACCATACCATCGGCCATCCACTGTCCTACCACTCTCCACCCCCACCCCCACCCGTCTAACACACACACACACACAACAAACAATCCTGATCAAATGAGGTGAGTTGGAGCGTGGAGCGGCCTCTCCCCCCCCCTTAGTTGGAGCGTGGAGCGGCCTGCCCCCC